AATTCCAACTAAGATGTACTAGAAATAAATAAAACATAAATATAAACCTTAAACAAATAAACCGGAAACAAAATTAAACAAATAAACAAAGATATACACAAAACAAAGGATACCCTTACGTAACACCTCTATGATTTTCAGCATTGACAACAATTACCTGGACCTCTGTATACTTTGCTATACATAGGTTGGGACTCGGGTCCGTAAATAAGTAAAACAAAAAGTTTTTTTAACGATTAAACCATTGAAGTAAAACACCTGCCGTTAGGTGAACATTAATTTTTGCCTTACCTGTGCTTTGTTTCGTTTTTTTTGCACGATTTGTGTGATTTATAAGAACGGCAGAGCTTCGCTTTTTATCGAGGGTACATTCTTAATTTCTGATTGCTTACTTTTTTACCAATTATGCGATGTTTGAGCTGCTGCTGGTGGTTTTAACTGAAGTTATATCGTATCTCACTGCTTTACAAATACACTGATTAATTTAATTCATATGGATTGCGTAATTATCTGAGGTGGGTATTTGTATCTTTATTAATGCACTAAGCCTCTCTTCACAAGTGATTATCACGTACTTAGCCAGATGTCAGCATATAACACAGACACACACGGCAACTCGCATACTCGCAGAGGAACCTTTAGTCCATATCCTCCATTTTTAAAACGTCGATTCATTTAGCTTCTTTCCTTGAGCCGTCGGTTTTCCTGAGAGTTTTTATTTTACGTATGAGCAAGCCACCAGAGGTGTTAGCAGTTGCCGTAATTTTGCGCAATTTTATCTTTAAGTTATATTTCTAACGCGGTTGATTTATTCAGTAAGTGATATAGAGACTTTGATGGACGACATTGGACACGCTCATGGTAAGACAGCTCAGCATGGTAAGAAAGCTTTCTACTTAATTTATCATTTATGTGGTACCATGTCTCAGCTCATTGTATTAGAAGTTAAGTTAGGTATTACGGGAGTGTATAGTTTATTGTTTGAGGGCCTGTATGTTGTATCGTTTTTTATTGTTGTTGTTTTTTGTTGGCACTTTGGGTGCTATCTGAGTTAACGAAATGATAAAAACTTCCTGCCTCTAGAGGCTACCAACAGTCAAACAATTCATTTGAACAGTCATTATGCAATGGCTATGTCATAGTGCACTCAGTAGGCTCCGCTAAGTACAAAACATTTTATTCCGTACAAATGCGTGGATTTGAAGAGCTCGTCTCTTTTGTGTCATTTGGTGTAATTTAGTCAAAAGTAGCCTGATATTTTAGGTGCTACTTTTAAATCGATTTATTTGGTTGGTATTTTCATTTGAACGTTCTAGGCAATGGACCGTGCATGGAGCGTTTCGTTGTCAGAAGCTCTAGACTGGTATTTCTTCTTTTGTCCATTTATGCCTGGAAAGTTAGTGTACGTATTTACATAACGGACTTGAACAAAAACGAAACCATGCTTGCATTTAACTAAATATGTCAGCATAAATGCTAAGACCTCCGACAATGCCCAAAGCTGTTGCTCTTGTTAATGTTCCCATTAACGAAAGGAGAGGAAAGGGGAAAAGAAAGGGGAAGGTAGGTATGCTTGCTGAGCAGTGAGCACTGGGCAGTGACCTAACAAGTCAGTATTTCAGGGATGGTACGTAGGTACTGTCACAAAGATAGCCCATCGTTGCTCTGAATTATCGACATATATTTGTGTGAAAATGTTTTTATGTGTTGATTCGTGTTTTGATCCCCTAAATTTGTGTGGATCCTATGTTTTGTCGTGTACCTAGGTATGTCATAGCTAGTAGCTACTATAAATTCACCAGCTAGCCGCACCACACACATAAACATGGATATACCAAATAACAACAAGTAATCAAAATGACCGTAAATTGAACATCACTTAACAGTGAATTACAGAAAAAGTATATGGGAGGGCTACCGATTTTTTGCGCAAGTTTGCCAGCGTTGATTTAACGTTTACTTTCATGCTTTGCACCGATTGGCGCTCGCGCATTTTTGCAAAGGAGCATTAGCGGTTGCAGGCGAGTTTCGTTCGTCAAATATTTTTCAAAATCTTTTTAAAGTGTGTTTTTCCGGCGCGAACGGGTTTAAGTGCTTAGTGAAGCAATTTCTTTTTCAAGATACATGTAGAATTAATTTTCTGATGAAAAAATGGAAAAAAGGTTCGTATATTTGTGTATTTAATCGTTTTGGACGTGAATCATTTTCAAGTGTCCCTGCACATTGAATCATTTCATTGGTTTGCATTTATTTTTCCTGGATATAAACATGAAAGCTGACATGATTTATGTCACTTTTGGTCGTTAAGATTGTGAAGCTGTTTATGATGCGTGTGTCTTATTGTTAAATTATTGGGTAAATTTATATTATCAATTTGTTTAACATGCTTTGAGTGTTCAGTTAAATTGGACACTGATGTTATGGATGATTATTGATCACGTTAATTTATTTCGAAGATGCCTTCCGTGTGTTGGTATTTGTGTAGAGATGGACTTCTGAAATAAGGCTCAGCGATGTTGATAACCGTTGCATAGCTTTTTTATTTGGAGACGGTCTAAGCTATTTCGTCTATTTAGTCTTGCGATTAGAGTATGTGATGTATTGTTAACCGTAAAGCATGAAGTATATCTAAAAATAAGTGTTAACTAAACTATCCCAACGTAGAATTATCATTTCTTCGTGTAGGTATGACGTACTGCACTTAAATTATACATTTTTTTCCGCGTGTCATGATTTTCTCCGAAAGGTCAGTTAAATGCTTCAGTAGCTGTATCCACATAGTGAATGGTTTATAAAGTTCTGAGTAGTTGTTTGGATGATCCTGACTAATATGGGATGCATAGTGTCTATAATGCGATGTGTACCTATTCATGGTGTGTTTGTTTGTCTGTTAACTTATTTTTCGGTTTTTATTGAATGTTGATCGTTGAATTCAATTTTGGTTAAAGTAAATGATGCCCATTCGTTTATTGATCACCACAGAAATTACATGAATGAATTTAAGTGTTATTAAAGGGTGACTGGACCATGTGACTGGTTTTATAAGTCTGAGAGCTAGGTATGCAGGTAGACAGGTATGTGGCAAAACACTATAGGTAGGTAGGTAGGTTGGTCTAGGTTTAGGCCATAATACCAATGCTTAGGGTATTATGGGTTCTGGACAGTCGTCAAACACCGGCAAAAGCTTGCAATAACTTTGATAATAAATGTACTTCTGCTCCTATAACAAGACTAATAAATGTACAATTATTTACCGGCAAGTGACGACTCTCCAGGGCGATGTCCGCCGTATCCCTCCGGCTCCACGTGCCGGGCATCGGGCAACAGGGTGACATCAGGCTGACCTCTTCTGATCTCGCTGTTTACAATGGGTACTGGGCATTCACGGCTCGCCGGTCAGAAAATAATATCTTCTATATTATTGGTTGTGTCTAAAATACTAATATAAACTAGCTTACAGCAAATTTTTTGTGGTTTTGTTTCACTTAAAAGGTAGGTACAGTATATGATCGGAGGCCAAGCTTTGCCCACAGCTTCCACTATCCACGTAAAAAAAGCTTATGTGCGAATATCACTTGAGCAAGTTGACATTATTTTTCACACCAGCGGTATTCTTTTCTGCCGTGGCCATGATTTTTTGTGGACTACTTTATAATAAAAATTAGCGTCGTAAAATTTGACTGCATCAGTGCCTATTTTTTTTGACACACTCATGTCATTGTCGGACTGATGTCACCCTGGCTAAGAGAGGGATAACAAAAATAAATGCGTCAAGTACCTTTCTCAATTCGTTAGTCTATTTTTTTTTACCACGATTCAACGACCACGATTAACAATTTACGAATTTCAAGTACGATTTCCGATTTCGAAACGATCTTAGACTAACGACTTAGAATTTAGGTACTTAATTGGTGCATTTATTTTCCTGGCCTGTTAAGTTCCATCTACATGAGAAAAAGAATCCTGTTTCAGCAACGTTAACATTTTAAATCTCAAATAATGTCCTATTAATGACTCCGATATCTCCTCATTCACAAGTTACATCCTTCTTGCCTTCTTACCTCGCGTCTCCCGTGCTCCCTCATCTCATAACTCCCATGTGCAGCTTTTCATCCCCAGCCCTCATACCTGGGACGTGTCTTCTACTACTGCAGGCGCGACGTCCGTCGCCGCTGTCAGGAGAGCCTCAGCCAGCGAAGTTTTTGACGAGACCCGATCGGCCGGTAGCGTTTGATGCCGTCCTACTTGGCTCACTGTTAATATTAACACAACGCTATTCCGACCGTTTTTTTTTTTTGCAACTCTCTTGGATGTTATCACACGGCAGAATTGCTGCAAAGTAACTGCCCCACCCCGGCTTCCTGGCCTGACAGCCAAATCAAATGTTATGGCCGGTTGAGTGGTGACATTTCTGACGTCAAACATGTGTCGGCGAGTGGTAGAGGTTGCAGCGGCTTTGCAACGTGACATTTGTAGCGTGCATAGCTCCGCGCACAACTGGGCTATTCAGCCATACGTGCCGCCGGGGGTGGGAGGGGAAGGGGCAGAATTTGCACTCCTGGCCCTGTTGTGTCCTGTCCAATTTCCGAACAGATGGTCATAGAACGACGGGTAAAACGGCAATCGAAAGCTCTCAACAAGACCGACTTTTGGAGCACAATTTTCTGCCCTAAGAGGTCACAGGGCAGATCAAGGTCAGGTCAAGGGTAAAAACGGCATGTTTCTCCATTACTGGCTTTGGAGCCCAGTTGGCGAAGAATTGGTTGAGATGGATCACCTAAAACTTCTTCTTAGCTACCAAAACAAGATGCATAGCATGCAATGTCATAAAGGTCAAAGTCAGGTCAGGTCACCAAAGACGTACTATCTCATCCATGGTGTAGTTTTGTCATTGCATGCGATCGTAATGTTATCTCATCTTGCTGTGGGTTCGTTCTTCTTATCTACGCCATGCACCTTTTCCCGTATGCAGTAACTTCCATCTTGCCACAGTGACAAGCTTTGTCGAAGTTTTCTGTGCATTTTATTTCAATAGATAATCAGATAGCCCCAACGGTAAGCAGAGCATTTATCGCACATCGCCCGGGCTAATTGGTTAGTTGTAGGTGTCATCCTGAATGAGTTCAATCTAATTGTTTACTTTTAACATTGAACAAGGAGCATTTATAAAGGCAGTAAAGGTTGATGTGCGAGAAAGTGGACGAAGCAGTTATAAGCAGGCATAGACTACTTCATATCTTCATATGCGATAGTAAGAAGAGGTACAAATATACAACACGAGTAATAAGAAGATACAAGTATAGTTGTCAATAACACTTGCTTAAATATAGTATAAGCTAAAATTGGCATAGACTCGTTTCCAGTCTTCGAAGTAGTTACCCCAGTTAGTCTAGTGTTGGACAACTATTTACTATATCCGTTTTTAACGTTTTTTAGAACGTACATATAAGTAATAGGCTCATTACGAACACAATAGGCATGTTAATATGTTAAAGGCACAGCTAGTCCCGCAAGAAAAGCAGGTACTTTAAGTAAAGCCCGTTCTCTCGATCGAGGGACGTCAGGTCAACTGAAGACCCAGCTCAGAGCCGGGACCCACAGCTAGCGTCATCTGCTTCTCTCTAGTACTTGTTCTCGCCAACAGGTGTCAGCACCTGGATGGGCTCTTCCTCTGGCATCGGGGCGACTTGCTCTTCCATCAGCTGAAGGTGATGGTAGTGGCTGAACACGCAGAGCCACCCGTACATCGTCAGAGCTGCGACGAGAAATGACGCAGCGGGTCAGAAATGAGGCGAGCAATGACGCAACAGACCAGAAGCAACGGTGAGGAATGGCTTGGCTGGCCAGAAACTTCAGCTAAAAATGAGGGTGGAATATCGTTGGGGACTGGGAGTCGGGAGTGACCTAGGACATCTCAGCGTAACCTCAACTGATAAAGGCTGTACATAGGATTATTATAATGGTGCTAGATACACACAGCAGAAAATAGTACTATAAATCTCCCTGAGATACCAAGTGAGCTTCGATGATCTAACCAATAAGAATGCTTCTAAATAAACGAAAAAAAAAACAATAAGAATGAAGGGCTATATATAAACGTACAGGGTGGGGCAGCATAATCGGGAATAAATATCAAACGGGATTATTTGGTCATGAATTTAAAAATATAGCTCCAAGCACTATTTTAACAACATCCCATCAATCGGTCACCTTTTACCTATCCCTCATCCTATTTGACCGCCCTTCGCGTCGATAACCTTCTCAAGGCGGGTCCAAAAGCACGCGCATGCACGTGCAACCTCCTGCTTGTCCATGATCGCCCATCAGCTTCGTACCTTGCACTGAAGACCGTTTTTACTGATGATAAGTTGTTCATTAAACTTCTACCAAAAAACGCTCCATATAAAGAATTTGGTCGGATTTAAATCGGCGGAGTTGAAGGACCAGAAGTTTTTGGTTCATCTCAGGTGGAGGTGCCCTACACAATAACATGTCGTCCTCACTGCAGTACCAGCACGGACAGAGTCCTCGTAAGACGTGATCTGGACCGTCAGTGATCCTCTCTTCCGACGACTCCACGTGAGTCTGCCAGAGTGTGGATGTATTTACCAGAGGTGCTCGTTTTATCCGGGCTCGATGAAGTAGGGTGCACCACGTGCACCTCCCTTGAAGACCACCCATAGGTCCATCACCTCAACAGGATGTTTACTTTGCATGACCGCTGCAATATTCTCGATACAATCCTGTATTTGGCATGCCATTCTTTTTTATCGTATTCCAGTCGGTGATAAGATTTTTGGTCGCTGAAGTTTTGAACATTGTTTCTTTTTAATATGCTTAAGAGCTTCTTCCTTATATTCAAGTGAGTCATCTTGTATGTCCTCTGCTAAGAGTTATTTTACGACGATTACGTTAACTTTTTGTCCTAAGTATCCCCACACAATCCTTATCGTCCGTGATAACACGTTGACCTGTCCAGCAACCTTTACGTGGAATGGCATTGTTTTAAACAAAATGTTCTTGTTTTACTCGTTTAACATTAGTGTCTATGGGCGCGCGCAAAGCACTTGGAGCACCGTCGAACTATTTTGCTGCTCTTTTCCAGGAAGTTGCATGCTCATGGATGTAGTCATGTCAGATGATGCACAACTTTTGGGCGTTTCATTGCCATGATATAATTTATCAAAATAATGCCATGCCTACTCATGACCAGAGCCCAAAAAGCATTCCCGATTATGCTGCCCCACCCTGTAGTACTTAGCGGTTTAAAAGTCCTATGATAATCAGACAAATCTGCTTTTTACTCTTATAGTACATAAACTTATTACTTTTTCATGCTTACTCAGCATTGGCACCAATAACATCCAATCTCTCAAAACCTCACCGATCTCTGGGATGATTCCCAGGCCGGACATGACGAGCCGCTCCTTGGACCTGCTGTCGGGCACTCCGCCGGCCATGTAGAAGAACATGCCGACGCAGATGGTGACGGTCAGCAGGCGGAGCAGCACCACGGTCAGCCAGGGCAGCATCAGGCAGCGCATACTCTGAAGGGATACAAACGGGGGTGTCAGTTTTGTCAGAGTGGAATGCGTTTCACAACTGTCAGGGCAGCATCAGGCAGCGCATACTCTGCCGAGTGGAAACGCGGAGCTGTGTCAGTTCTGGCAAGTTTTAAACCAGTTCTGGCAAGATAGACAAGGCAGGGTTAACTTAGAGCATGGATGTTGTCAAATCGGCACGGAACGATTATAACGGTTACTCTAATCTGGTTATTAGAAGCCCATGAAGGTGGCAAAGATAAATATTTTCATTGCACAACATGCGTTGGTATTTTGTCTAAAACCAAGCTCGTTGCATAATGCATAATGCATAATAAGTAATGCTCAGGAGTCAGGAGCTCTTTCAGTGACCTAAGGTGTGCTGTCATTCAGAGTTAATCACGTCCATTGCCCAGTGATTATCCTGTTTAGCGACATCATAAGTTCTACAGTAACGGCCCAATGAACCAATACTCACCACAAGTGGCCCGTTGACCTGCAATGACCTGCCACTTACCTGGTATACGCCGCTGATCAGCATCAGAGCGGTCAGCGAGGAGCCCACAAAGTAGATCAGCAGCACGATCAGCACCGTGTACATGTCTGAAACGGAGGAGACAATATTGAGTAAGAACCATATCATACAGTCAATTATCGATACACAGAGAAGTTATTTCCTTATGAATAAAATCAGCTCAGGTATGTAAAATACCGAAACCTTAACCCTCGCCCTGGCAGGGGGGGGGGGGGTCGATACGACCCCCGTAAGGTTTTTCGAAGATAGTGTAAAAACGGCGGCGCTCAGATTTGCCACAGCCTATGGGGCAACCTTTTTACATATGACCTGAAAATTTCAGGTCCGGGTGACCTTGGGTCAGGTAGCCAGGTCAGAGAAACCGGTACCTACAAGGTCATGATCAATTTTCAATTTTCTTTTTGCACCCGTCCAACTCACAGTTTTTGACTGATTTCCTTCAAACTTTCAGGATGTGCTAAGTTCACCGAGTTGTATAACATATAGTTCGTTTTTTTATGTCACTGACCTGAGGTCAGTTAGAGGTCATTACGTCGTAATGTTAAGCCTATGGGAAAATACTAAATTCGGAAAATACTGGAGATATCCGCTTCGTTCTATCACTTTTGTGCTTTGAAACCACTGTACTTAACAGCAGGTCACTTGGTGCTTCTTTGTTTGGTGTACTTATCCATGGGTCAGGTCAAATGAGGTCAACTGAGGTCAAATAACGTTTTTGCCAATAACTTGGCACATAATGACGCTAGAGCTTAAAAATGGTGTCATTGTGTTCCTTGTGATCAGCTGAATCGAATGATATGCGATATGATGCAATTTGAATTTGGTTTACTTGAACTTGATTAATTAATTAAAGTTTACTTAAAAATTAAGAAAAACTTTAAGCACACTTAAGCAAGCAAAAAGCATATTCGACGCGCCTTGACGCGCTGAGGTCACTGGTGCTTTTCTTTTTTCTTTATCTTAATTAGATCAAAAGTTATAAGCGAAAAACGTTTGACCTGTTTTTAGCGACATTTTTACATTTATACACCCCAAAGCCCCCCTAAATATTGATCTAGAGCAACCAAATTTGCACAGGGGCGAGAAATCTAGGAAGCTCACCTACCTACTAAATTTGGTGTTTCTAGGTGTCATAGGAGCCAATCGCGAGGGGTGGGGGGTCGCATCGACCCTCCCCCCCTGCCAGGCCGTGTTATGAAAAATGCCCTGTCAGGGCGTGGGTTTATCTTCAATGACTAAAATGCATATGGCTTATAAGATTTATAATGATGTATTTCAGATTTAAACCTTTTTTTGCCTTGGATAGTTGTAATCCCAGGTTAAACGTTGAAGAAAAGCTCTGATTAATTACTGCTTAAACGTACCTAAATTAACCTATTGTCCTATTGTCCTATTGTCCTTTTGTCATCATATATACCGGGTGGCCCAGAAAAAACGTTCCCAACTTTAAATCAATATTTCTCAGAAAGTGATAAAGATACAACATTGAAACTTCGAATAGTCAATGCGGCACACATTTTCAGTAAATGGTGTGATTTTTATGTTATTCGGTCAATTACTTTTTAAACGGTTCGTGTTTCTAGCATGCCATGTAAAAATCACTTTTTTGCTCTGATGTTTACCAAAAATGTGTGTGAACGGGCCACTTGCATCTCGGCACCACGGCCTACAGCCATGACTGCTACTGGCAACTAGTCTCATTGGTGGTTCAGGCCTCAGGCAAAAAAAAAACATCTATATTACTATTTGAGGTGACGTAGTTTCTGTCTATTACGAAGGTCGCGACATGGTGCCACGTAGCGCGGGTTACAAGTCACACCGTTGCACCTACCGCGCTGAAGTTTGCGCAACTCATAGAACAAGGATGGACAACGTGCCTTTGATGGGTCTCAGCTCGATCGGATCGATAGCGAGCGCGTGGCGCGTGCCCAAAAAGTGCAAATTCGCGTCATAGACTTTACATGTATTAATCGGCTGGTAAAAACGGGCGAAAACAGCCAAATTTGCCCGACACGGGTCCGGTCCCGGTGCAATATCTCGGTAACCGTGGGCCCGACCGGTACGGGGAAAACAGCATCGTGTAGAGAATCGAACGGGCTATCGAATGATGTGCGGTGCAGGGGTTGGCACGCGCCACGTGCACCGGGGAGGACACTTTCTTTTGAAAAATGGACGTTTTGGACGGATTTTGGAATTTATATTAATTTCAGGTGATCGTCAGACGGAATGAGTTGAAACAGCGCCTATTAGCAATAAAAATGTACCGTCTCTCATGGAAAAATTGTGAAAAGCTAATTGATCAAAAACAATGTGGAAAAAATCGCTGAATTAAATGGTATTTGTCCAAAATGTGCCACTAAATAATTACACGGATTTTGCTGCTTAACCTGATAAGTTTGACAATTGAAAATGCTATCATTAGAAAGAGCATTCAATTCTCTCCAAGATCCAACCACCACGTTTGCATGACAAGCAACGGTATTCTTAAAAATATAAATGTTTCAAACCTCTGCAAATCCATTTTTAGCAAAATTATCTACGCCTTTCATTTGTCACAAAACTACGCACCTGAATTATAAAACACATTTGACAGGTTCACTGAACTATTGACAGTTTCTGAAGCAGAAAGCATGCTTATCAGACACGGGCACTTCGATCCGATGGATATTTTTTTTCCAAACCAAAACGTTTAGCCATCAAAAAGCAATCGACCGAAATGGATAGATAGCCCAACCGACACAAGAAAACCAAACACCCGCCGATCGTAAATACCCCTTTTCGCGTTGCGGAGCACGCGGGTCACCCTAGTTCCCTCTATAGTTCGTTTTTTTTCAAAAGGACGCTGGCTCCAAGTATGTTTTTCGAACAAGCACGTGTTTTAGCGAGCAAAACGAGCAAAAACTGAACCTGAGAAAATCGAACGTCGACTAATTTTAACATGTTATTTCTTCCCGATAATGTCCATATGGGCGTTTTGGAACCAGATATGAGAACAGCGGTGACGTCATGCTGTCGAACATGTATTTCAATGTAACTTATGACTATCATGGACGGAACCGCTTACTCGATTATAAGCTGGGCAACAGTGAAAAACTAAGTTTCAACCCAAATTCGTTGACACTTGTCCCACTGCACGGACATTTGGGTGCCTGCTGCCACCAGTGACGCCATCATAGTATGTTCATTTTTAAGAAACAATTTCCAGCTACTTACCGTGCAAAATTTGAAATCGATTATTTTTTCGGTAAGAAATTCTTGGCCAGACACTGAAGCTGCTAAAACTCACGTGAGAGCTTCGATATTTTTTTTTTGAGTTATTTTGTATTGGAGTTTTCTTAATTACACAAAGCAAGTCATAGGTACATCAGACCAGTATGGTAGGTGGAAGCCCATCAACTAGCATGGACGGCGACACAAGTATGGCGCTAGATCTGGGTCAGACATAATGTCGCGATCTTCGGTAACAGTATAATTTTCTTTCATTTCATTGAATATTTGCCTAGATCTTTGCAACGAATTGGACAATGATCTTCCTTTTCTCTCTGAGGACTGCGATTTTCCTACCTCCGTCACATCAATAGAAAGCAATTCTAACAACAGATCAGAGCTCTGCGCTTGAGGCGATTCGGGAGATATGTACTGCTCTGGCTCAGAGTCTACTTCTGGAGCTTGCTGTTCGAAACGAGACACATACACATCACCATCGCCACAATCATCAGCTGCCGGGGCCAGTAAAACGGATGCAGCGTTGCCACGAACAACGGCCAATGACAACCGCTGCCACAGCCATGCCTGCTCCCGACGGTCCCCGGTGTTTGCGGCCATGCGCGCACCCAATTCCTTCACAAAGGCTCTGGTCGAGGGACCACAGGCACCTGTCGTCTCAAATGCCACTGGTTGGAACATATAACGTGTGGTAAACTTCTCGTATTTGCGACATTTGCGCGTTTCAGCGTCCTTAGCTGCAGCGCCGGCTGAGGTGGCGGCTGACGGGAGGTGAGATTCTGCAAACGTATTAACGCAAGTTGCGTCCCAAATCATTGCCTTCCCTTCAGCGAATGGGAACACCGTCATGCCATCGGGCCTTTTGCCGTCGCCGCGGTCGATGCCGGTTGGCTCTAGAATCGCTGGAATGCAAGCGGTCTGCAGAGCGCGCCTGACCACATCGTTGAGTGCAGTATGGCGGGGGTGACGTCCCGCACTCAGACGACAGGTCAGGGCATGATGACCTCTGCTGTCCGCTCGCGCTCCACATCGGCACTGGTGGGGCTGGCAAACATCGGCTCCCACACGCAGGGCAACAGCGATGCGGAGCGTCTCGGGGTCCAGTAGCGTGCCGAGGGCTGCAGAGGGGACGGCATGCAGCCAGGAGCCGCTCTCCGGGCGCAGCTGCGGATAGGAGTCTGGCTTGATCCAACTGGTTCCCGGAGGACAGCAGTGACTTCTGAGTCTGTTCTGCCAGCACAGAATCCCATGCGCGTTGGCTGCAAACAGCGTCACCAGTTGGAGGAGCTGCGTTGTCGGCTGCACGGATCCAGGCGTTAACGGTTTGGTCACGTTCCTTGGCCATGCTGGTATGGATCTCTCCTGGCAGTATTGTTGTCAACAACGGCAAGCAGTGATTCAAGGAGGCAGCGAAGCTGGGCAGCGCGAGGTCTTGTGCGCGTCGTAGGCCCAGGCCGCCAAACCTAGTCGGTAAGCTAGCCTGTTTCCAGGTCTTGTCGTCGAAGTGAACGTTAGTGATGGTTGATGTTGTCACCCTCAATTTTTCGTCCAGTGGTTTTAGCAGTTCCAGTTGGCGGTAAAAGGGGGATACGCGCAGCAAATATTGCAACTTGGGCATCCAAATGCAGTTTCTTAACAGAAATAGAGCAGAATGACTGTCAATGTATTGTAGACGACCGGCCATTCTGTCAAATTCCTCGTACTTCTTGGTAATGACGGCTTCAGCAGCTTCGTCAGTCACAGGCGCTCCTAGCATTATGGCCTCTGATTCTTCTGTGACTGTCGCACCTGGGATGAGCCGGTGTAATTGAAAAACATTACCTTCGCGCTTCTTCTTCGAACATGCCCTCGGAAGGATGATCTCACATTTATTGGGGTTCACATCAAGACCAACCCGAGCCAAGGCAGGGATCACACGCTCCAAATCTTGGCAAACCGTTTCGATGTCACCTCCGATAACCGCATCGTCCAAGTACCATATGTTAAATGGAGACACCACTTCCTTTGACGCTGCTTGCACAGCAAGGGAGAAAACGGCTGGACCGCATGGGTCTCCTTGCTGCAGTCCTGTGGCCGACTCGATTCTGGTGGTGCCAAAGTACAGGGAGCTCGGCTGAGAATAGGCTTGCCACATCAAACGATACAGTGACGGCGCGTGTTGTCTGACGGCGCTAAGGAACTTGTCGCGTCTAACAGTGTTGAACGCATTCCGCATGTCAATCTTGACGAGTACTTCGTTATCAGGCAAGTTAGCTGAGAAATGCCGTACTGCATGCACTGCCGCTTCACAGCCACCAGGGCTGCCGTAGCCGAGCTGAATCGGCCTCAGCTGCTGACCTAGCTCCTGTGTAATTGACCTCAATGTTATCTTGGTAGCAAGTCGCCTGTAGACTGAGCCGACGGCAATCGGTCGCAGGCCGCCATCAGATTTTCTTAGTGCTGTCAGTGACGCGGAATAGAATGCGTCGCGTGCACAGGCTGGAAGGCGGCCTGCGGCGGCAGTGTTCACCAGCGCCGTCAGCGCGGTCACCAGGCGGGCGCCGGCCTCACCTGCAGACTTCCCGGTCAAATCTTTCAGGTGAGCGGGTCGGAGACCATCCAAGCCGGCACTAGATCCCGAGTTAAAGCCGTTTATTGCCGCCATGACATCCGCCTCTGTTGCGTCTGCCGGCTCCTCCAACTCATGATCCGGACAGGGAGGTAAGTCGAGATCAGTAGGTGCGGCAGGATGCTTAGCTTCGAGCGCTGTAACGTTACTAGCGGATGGAAGCACCATTTCCTCGCCAGAGGTCAGCAGCCGAAGCGCGCCCTTGATGTCTCCATCGGGCAATTTTGCACAGACGCGTTTCCTTAGAGCCTCGCCAGCTTTCCGGTGTCGTGCTCCGGTGCCGCTGCATTGTGTGTGTGAAACTCGTAGCCTTCTACATTCGCCGGTCTGTGTCTGACTGCCGGGTACGTCTTGAGTGACAGCTTCAGCCTTCAGACATATACTTAAACACTTGTTGTTTGATTTAGCTGGTCAATGACCCCTCAGACACGGAATTAACCCGTACTGTTGGAACCGAGAGGGCCAGGAATGGGAAGCTGAGCAGCCTTGACCAAGCGGTTGCTGACTTCACGTTCAGTGCAGTTTCAATTAATCGCGACAGAGCGTCGGCGGTTGAAATCCTTGCTCTCTTAGGAATTCTTGGGATGACTTTGTGACTCGTTCTTAGCTTGGCGATGGTATCGGTGATATCCGGGTCCTCAAGACTGTCAGCATTGCTCACTGTCTGGCTGAAGATTGACTGAGACCTTGAGGGTACGAAACCGTCATCCGTCAGGCAGGTGGGACACCACCAGTGAGTGAGGGCAGATGCTTGCAGCGTAGTGAGACGAATACACGAAAGGTGATACCATAGGTTACACTTATTACATTGAATTGTGCGTTTCAATGTAATATGCGCTTCGATATTGAACTTTGAGCCAGCGTCCTTTTGAAAAAAACGAACTATAGCTTTTTTCCTTATTCGGTCGATTTACTATTTGATCTTCTTGAAGGGAGGGCGATCAGCAGTAACCCATGCACCGTGCCACTCCTTCGCCTTGAAACAGAACTTGTGTTGAAACGAATGGCATCCATTAACACAACTTTGGCTTAGTATTTGAATATTTAGCACATAAGTGTGACAAAAAAATATAAAATAGCAGCACACATGCTGGTATCATTCAAGCCGTTCTATTTTTTGTATTTTTTTCTAACATTGTACGTCTAATGCCGGGTTCACACCGGATTCCGGACCGGCAAAATTCCGTCTGCCGGGCCGGAAAAATGGCCAATTCCGTGCCGGAAAATTGAAAACTGGTGTGAACCGGCAAATCTGGCAACTTCTTTTGACCGGTCCGGCAGGCCGGAGAGCCAGATTTTCCGTTCCGGCAAAAAGTTGAAATCATCTCAACTTTTGCCTTGCCGGATAGCCACCGTTTGTGATATGAAATTAAGGCACGAGGGAAATAATGTTATGTTTCAGCGCTACAGGACCAATTTAACCAACGGTGCCCTAATAGTCTCGCGATTTTTCACGAGAATATAAAATTCAAGCGTAAATTTGACGGCGTTTCATTTTTATTTCAAAACATTTGCATCTCAAACGGAGTGATAGCTACATTTCTGTTTTTGTATTTCACATGACTCATGGCCTTTTCAAATTATAAATTAATTTCATTGGTTGGAAAATATCCATGACTTTATAATAAAAAAGAATATTATAGATATTATAAAGAAGCGGTGAAAAGGGCGAATTTGTGGAACAACATTGCGGACGCGCTGGTTGTAGAAGGAGCGGAGCCAGTATCTGCAGAAGAGATTATCAAGCGCTGGAGCCGGCCGCAGGACAGGTAGCACAATGTACGTATTGCTAACTTCCGTCGTCTACGAAGTGGAGCCAGCGGAGCAGATTCTGAAATCTACATTCTACAAGACACGCTGACAACACTTCTCTGCCCTCGATGCCCTCCTACACAAGCACATAGCAGCTCGGGAGGGTGGAGGCAGTTTTGCCATTCAATCGCAAGTAGAAGATTCAGGAAATACGATGGTACTGAATGCCAAGGATATTATCCCGCGCCCTGCTGGGGGTGGGGGTGGGGGGATATTTGAACCCTCCCTGTGGTTTTTCGCGAACATCTAAAAAACGGCGGTTGTTTTTGGCACACCTTATCATGCATCTTTTCTGCACATGTAAAAATTGTAGACCAAGGTCACTTAAGGTCAGGTCACCAGGTCACTTCAAGTGACCTCACCTCATACAAAGTTTCAACGTCTTCCATATGCTACATCGAGCGACCGACCTCTTTGAAACTCTCAGCGATTGATAAGGGCAACAATATGTACACAATTTAAATAAATAACTATCTCGGAATTTTGATATCGGTGACCTAAGGTCAGGTCAATTTTGTGACCCCCCCATTATAAGTCAATGGGAGAAAATTGATGCCAAGTTATGCGTTGGCTTGTTGTAAATCGTCGACATTCGACCTGAAAATCGGTGAAATTCGGCTTTCCATTACCTCTGGTGACCTGACCTTTGATTTGACCAAAAAAAGTGACCGAATTAATTTCGTCATTAATTTTGACACTCTTTCGAACGCCGCCTTCCCCGTATCGCTACGTGGCCCAGGAGCCGAGTTAAAAGGGGGGATGTTAAACACCCCCACCAGCAAGGCGTGGAAATTTAGGACCCCCAGCGGGACGCGGGTTATGGCAGTAGAGTTCAGTGACAGTCCGATGACCGATTTTGAGACCCAGCCATCTACATCAGCAAGCGTAATATCAAGCTCGCCGTCTCTAATGCGCCCTGCCCAGCCCTCAATTCCTCTTTGTTCGCAAGTGTTTTTAAACCAACAACAGCCAAAGCGCGATTGAAATTTATTAGTGTCTTTTTGTCGATACCCAGCCCGCATGCTGTAAATGTTGAATTGTATTAATCTTGCTAATATACCTACCAGTGAAGTATGGATGATTTTCGGTTGGGTGGAACTGCATCAGGGACTTGTAAAGCCGTCACACAAGTATGCTCGATTTCAAAATAATTCGGGAGATTGCTTGGTACCTACTTATCGTACTTGATGGTTGGTGATTATGACATTTCCGGCTCGACTTTCCGGTTTTCCGGTTCTAGCGACTTTTTTGACATCTAGCGACAATTTCAACATTTTGGTGCCGGCCCGGCAGACGGAATTTTTCCGGACCGGAAAACCGGTGTGAACCTGGCTTAAGCCAATCATTACTTCCGTTTAACAACGGCAAAAAAGCAAAAACGTCTTACTTCATTCAACATAAGATTGCTGGCTTGAAAATGATGGTACAGTGTTATAATTTGGCATACCAATGCGCAAAGAAGTGACGCAAACTTGATGAAAATTTTGGCTCGTTATTTGCACTCGAATTTGAGATATAGGCCTCCAAAGTTCGGAACGTTTTTTTTTTTGGGCCACCCGGTATATACCTAACTATTGTCATTGCTTAAACACATCAAACGTCATCTCTGGTTAAACGCTTAATAAATATCTCAAGCACTTAAATTAAGGGCATGTTCGGTCAATTCAACATGCTTTGAAATTATTTGCAAAAAAAAAAAACGACGAAAACGCAATTGCACTGACCTGCCGAGGCGGCATCGATGAAGTCGGTGACCACCGATATCTGACTGGAGCTGGTCTCCAGGGAGTCGGTGATGTTCTGCGCCCATTCGGTGACCTCAGCATTGTTTGTGTCCCAGGTGTTAATCAGGTGTGACACCAGGCCGACGCCGGTGATACTGGGCAGCTGGGGACGGGCGAGTGAGGGTTAGAGGTAGCTGGGGACGGGTCAAATAGAGAGAGGGTACAGCTGGACGAGTTAGGGAGAGTCAGACAGCTGGGGATGGGTTAGAGTTAGAGGCAACTGGGCCACGGCTAGAAACAGACAGTCAGGTTAGCTAGTGACTTGGCTTGGCTAGTTGATATGTGGCTTGGCGAGTTAAAAAGGGGTTTGCGAACTTTAAAAAAGGCACCAAATGCACCTGTGTAATGAAAACTCATACATAGATGCCTGTGAAAGCGTGCAATTATGAGGATTCTGATAGACCAATGTTGAAACACTTCTGCACCCCTATTTTCTACCGCCCTCCTTGCAAAGCTACGCCCACACTGCTCGACTAAAAACGTGACGCACAATACCATCCCTGCCAAACTGGTCAGTGGTCAATAACGAAAACTCACACCCGCGCTGTGGGTACCCACCGCCAGCCTTTCAGTGGCAATTCCATTCTCCCTCGGCCCACTACAATCGGAACTAGCTGCTTTGTCCGGTGGGAAGGAACAGAAGGTCTTTTTGAATCGCGACCGCACTGAAATGAAATGCTCGCATGCACCCGTTGCCAGGCGGTGAGTCGCAAATGGTAGTTTAAAACTGAGTAGATTATGGTTCAGTAATCAGTTTTTATATGCATGCACATTCTGAAAGAAAGACTGCATTCTACCGAAATTCGAGATCTGAGAATTTAAAAAAAGTCAGCAAATATGTTGGTATGCTTCTATTTAGGCGCCTACAAAGGTAAACATTTACTAGCCAAGTTGTATGCTGCCTTCATGAGTCGGATGATTGTGAATCATAACGATGTTGATAGTAAGAATAATAATGAAAGTGGTTCACTACAAAAAGTCTGTGCTGGCTTGGTTCCATGGTTCGAAATAGAACTTAAAGTCCGTCGGATCGCTTTATACGTTTTATGCCTATCACGTCTTCGGCACCGGCGGGCGCCTTCAAGGTAGGCAACCCGCACTGCAGACGGAGCAGATAGGCAACCCGCATTACACGCTGCACCGAATGGCTTGGTGCGATCTGCCGGCGACTTTACTTTCCGGTTGGAGTGGCTGGACGGTTTCTACGAGCGCGAGTATGTCGGAAAGGTGATGAAATTTGTTCAAAACATGACGCAAAAACTTAACTTTACGTGTTTCCTTGTGAGTTTAAAGAACATTCTTCGCTGATCAAAGTGCGCATTACGATGTCTGGGTTCTGAGTCATTTATCGTGCGTGCATTTATGTACGAGCGATGCCATGACATTTTACATAACCCATTAGACCATCACCTTGATGATCTTGCAGCTCCTTTGTCACAAAATAATGTGCCGCGGAAACACACACGGAATGAAATACTACAGCATGCTCGCACTCAGCTATTTGCTGAATGATTAACCGTGTCTTTTAATCAAAAGAACCAATTACAAGGCAATGAACCACATTGAAAAGCAGAAAAGGCTTAAGCGTGATATAGTTCGATGCGTTGTAAATCCAGATGCGAAGAAATCCTCGAGAAGCTGTGCTGTGCAAGAAGATAGGAATCCTTAGCCATCATTTACCGGTTCCTATAAGAAACCGATTGGTCAATAAGAAAAGAAAAAAACAGTATTAGAATTGGCAATAGAGTCATGCAATGCAGTAAACAAAGATATTAGACGTTGTCGTTGAAGGGTATAACAACTGTGACTGGAGCTTCTGAACATGCTTCAACTCACCAGTGACAGGACTCCGATGATGATGGAGCCCTGGTAGGTGTTGAAGCAACAGCAACATGTGGTCATGCAGGGCATGTTGCTCTCCTTTGTGTGGACCTCCTACAATATATACTTCAGTCCGTCCCTTGGCTATTTCATCATCCAGGTCAAAATATCACACTATCGAGTATCGGCGTTCGAAGTTCAATGTTTTTTGGTTGCTTATTTGCAATCGTAGCCACGCACACACACGGAACAAGTCTGTTCTCTTCAGCGTCACCCGGGGTAACTCAAAACCACCACCAGGCACCACTGCCAAGGCCACGCTGTTTACCGGTAACCATAGCAACCGCTCGCGCTCCGCGTCGCGTTCTTCGCCGACGTCACCGATGACAGAGCGCTGTGGGACGCCCGCGGCCGCTCTGTTGACGGACCAACAGACCAACTAATGAGTGGTGCACCTAGTGAAAACGCCCGGTGCACCCACTGAAAACGCCAGTCGAGCCGAGGAATATTCCTAATGGCGGCGACCAATGCCGCCTCAAGTTTGGTACTTAGCCGCGGCGGCACTGGACGAATGGCCACCGGTCGATGGCCCATAGCAAACAGCGGGAAGACATACACTGAGGCGAAGTACCTGCTGGGGAATGGACCGCAGTGCAAGGAAGAGGTGTTCACTGTAGCAGCAGGTGGTCGATGAAATAGTATTACAGTGGAAAGGGTTTATTGGATTGAATGATTATATGCAATATGCATAAATGATAATAATTTTGGTGGTTAATAACACCTGACATGCAATGTGTCATGGCGTCCATCGTTTTCTTTAGACGATTTCGAGTTTTGTTGCCGGCGTTTATACCAATTTCGGGCCAATTCCAATTAATTGAGTGACCACTGACCATGCGGCTTTGACCAGCTATTTATATGCGGTAGGCTGTTAAGTACTCTGTATGAGTAATGACTATATATGTAATGAGGTTCGTGCTACCGGACTTCTGGCCATAAGGCTTTGACTTTCAGTTCTTCTACATGTTGAAATGCTTGAATATTCAGTTACTCGTCACAAGACTCGGCTATAAAGTGTATCTGTATAAATTCGGCTTTGACAAGTGGATTTGACAATAAGACAATTTGACAATTAGAGATGGGGAACTGGTTGGTGATTCAATTTGACCCAGTATTCGTGTTCACGTAGCCAACATCAACAATGGTTGCTGAAGATGGATGATCTTGAACAGTGGCGTCAACTTCTAGCAATGATCCAAGAAATCGGCATTTTGAAGGTAATAAAATGTTCGCTGCTATACAATGAAGTTTTCAATAAATAAAAGCATCTTTATTTTGCACGCATAGCTGTGTATAGGGATGTAAGACGTGCAAAATTGCATTTCAAATGAAATAATTAAAAATGAATCAATAGGTCTGCCGGCCTGCTCTTCCCACTGTACCAAATGGAAGATTATGCTACCTACCAGAAACCGAAAGAACACGTCTGAGTAAAACTCTAAAGTTTAAATGGAATTCACAATGATGGTCTCATCTATCCACTATTCTTATTTACTGCCAATGACTTTTCTACTGTGAGTGAATCTGTTATGGCTGAAATTGATCTATTATTGCAGGCGCGCATAGCTTGATTACACATAACGCTTGGGAACAAACCAATTCATCCAGCCGCGTCCAGAACCCGGCGGATGTACCCGCTCCACCAGTCAGCATTACCCGTAGCATCCCTACCGGGAGCCTGGAAACAACACACCAGCCGCGTAGGGCGGGGTTCACATCGCGCGTGACTCGTCAGCGCCGGTTGGTTTCCGGCCAGAGCCGCCATCCGGCCGACTCGCGAGTTGGGGTGACTGGCAGCTGGCGGGGGTCGAATAAAAGCGCCCGGGGCCACGGTCAGGTCGTCACTGAGCTCCATGCGGCACGGCACCGGCACCATGGCGGCTACTCTCACCCGTTTTCTGGCTCTGGCCCTGCTGGTCGCTGCGGCCTCGGCGCAGATGGGTGAGTTGAACTTTGTGGGATTTAGTCTTAGTTGTATTCGATTTGCACGAGCTTTTAGCTTATACAGCTGTTACTGAAATGTAAAACGGGGCATTCAAAGATGTTTTTAACGTGTTTATATTTATTTGACAATTCAAGTTGACTATTTTACAGAAACAGTTATTGGAGCATCCGACTGTCAGACTTTTTTCTCGGAAACGTATGGGCTGCCTTGAAATTGACCATACAATTATTCACAACTCAATGTTTATATGTGTTTATCAATTACATACACTAGAGCAAAACATATCTTATGTAACACGCTTTAGTGTATCTGTATTTGTTGTATCGGACTTTTCGTCTACCGAACAAACTCTGATATTTTGACCAAGATTCTTTCAGTTAGTTTTGACCAAGTTTGGCGTTTGTCTCGTCGCAGGCGGCCGGCGCGGGATGCGGGGAGGACGTCCCCCTCGCCTTCCCAGCCCGGAGGAGCAGCTGGCCACCATGAAGGAGGCTGGCTGTCTGCCGGAGGACTTCGTCGACCCGGACTTCAGCGAGTGTGAGAGCAAGAGACTGCCGCCCATGAAGATGGCGTGCATCGCCACCGTGTGAGTCAGACCTCAGAGATGCTGGTGTGGGCTAATAACATGTAGACTCACAACGCATGTTCGATGTATGTGCATATTATGCACAGTTAAAAGCGCAGTGAAGGTACTGGCCAGGAAACATTTCTGTATGCCTGCTCCAATTGTTTTGGTTATTGTTGGCCGTTTGTGACTAGTCCTTTTCCGTGATTCTTATTCAGTTGACTTTAACGGTTTCGTAGCGAATCTGAGTGCCCCTAGAACCAATCCAGTTCCAAGAACTTGAGGCAGCCAAAAACATCCTAATGGCACACAGACACCCATTAACTCTTAATTCCTAACTCGTCGTTTTCGTTTCAGTTCTGGCTTCTCCGGCAACTCTGGTTTCGACCAGGCTGCTGCCGAGGCATTCATCGACGCCCGCTCGTCTGATGCTCAGTGGACCGCCCACCAGAAGGAGCTCCTCTCCAACTGCTCCTCGATGCTCTCCGAAGAGCTGCCTGTCGAGAAGCAGGGCCTCTTCGTGCAGCTCTGCTGGATTCAGCTGACCGTTGGCGAGTGTGCCGTCCAGCGTCTGACCGCTACCATCGCGGAGGTGGACGCGGACAACGCCGAAGAAGTGGCCACCGGTGTTGCCACCATGGCCGGCGGACACTGCTTCAAGAAGGGGCTCGAGTACCCCGCGGAAGCCACGCAGATGTGGGAGAATTGTGCGGCCGAAAGCGGTCTTGACGTCACCGTGCTGATGGCGGCGGGAGCCTACTTCAAGATGTTCATCATGGGTGACAACGGCCTGCCAGAACTGACTGCTGATAACATCACTGCTGTCGCCGAGGAGTTTGAGAAGATTGAGGCAGTCATCGACTGCTACGCCCTGGCCAGTGGCGAGGTGAGCAGCGACGGCACGATCAACTATGACACCATCCTGGCCGGCATCGAGGCGGCCGAGGGCAAGCAGCCCGTCAAGGATGCTGCCAAGAAGATTGTGGAGTATTGCCAGGGTGAGAACCCGGAGGACATCGGCGAGTTCTACGACTGCTTCGTGGAGGCCCAGCCGTACGCCTGTGTGGCTCTGAGGTCGTACGCCATCATCAGCGGTCCGGGTGGAAGGGGAGGTCGTCCCGGTGGTCGTCGTCCCGGCGGTCGTACCGGCGGTCGTCCCGGCGGTCGCAGGGGTCGTCGTGGTGGTCGTAATGGTCGTTCCGTGGTTCTCCTTCCCTGAATGAGGAGCCAGTCGACCTGACCTCGCGTCACAAGACCAACGTGGCCGTCTCCTTCAGACAAGGACCCGACACCATTTGAAGACAACCAACTGCCTGCTACAGACCATGGACTTGAATTAGTGATATGCATCTTCCTATTTTTCTGTTATTTTCACATTTTGTGATGTGTTGTCTTTTCCGTGCACTTACCCTGGAATAGTCATGGATTTCTTGTTCTAAAAGAGCGTTGTGGTACATCAATCACCCTTGCAAGGATTTACTTGTCCTTTCACGTACTTATCAACTGTGATAGAATATGCACTGAAAAATACAGTTTTCAACACAAACGTTGCCTCTTCTTTAATTTGTCTATTTTTTTATATATAAATTTAGCTCGAATGTTTGAATGGACGGATTGACAGAGCCCACGCCATAGGCGGCGGAACGGGGAGGGCGCCGGGGCACCGTGCCCCCTTTGATTTTGGCATTTTAACATTAGCCCTACGGGCGTTGCATGGAAAAAATGGAACCAGAAGTCGGCAGTGCCCCCACCTCTTAATTGAAGGTGTTCCGCCGCTACTGGCCCACGCTTAGCAGAGCTTGTTGCGTAGACCCCGACCCTACCGTCCGATCGCGCATTTCCGGGTAATAGGAGAATTTATAAGCCAAAGTTTAACGTGCACTTCAAAACGGGACACGGCCCGTCCCACTCAACTGCCTTCAACCAGCTGCGGCTGCTCCCACCAACCGCAGCCCATCCCCGTCAGGGCCTCGTTTCATAAAACGAGTCCGTAACTTACGCCGGTTTTTGGTCTTTTATTGCAAGTGCATGTGAAGCGATGACGGTGGTTTGAATTGTTGAATTTATTTATCTTGCAAGCAAGAACAGAAGGGAGAAGGGGAAATAAATTTATCGCTTCACATGCGCTTGCAATACAAGCCCAAAAACCGGCGTAAGTTACGGAATAGCTTTATGAAACGAGGCTCTGGAGTCTCAAATATCGAGCGCCGGAGCGACTCGAACCCGGACTCTCGCTACCCGGAATCCAACACTTTACCAACTGAGCTACGGGACAGGCAGAAGTGATAATTACCAAGAAGATATCACATCTTATTGAGAGTGGCCAATGAAACGTTATTAGTAATTTTTGTTTGTTTGGGAATTCAAATTCATTATTTATAAACCGATTTTCTGGAATGTTATTTTTTCGAAGACCCAGCATCACGTCTGTAGGGCACAAATCGCCTATTCAATAACCTAACAATTAATTTAGCTAGCCAAAGCAAAGATAAGCAAGTAAAGATGGGTCTGAACGTAGAGAGTTGTACACAAAATATGCAGAGTATGCGTTTTCATGAAGCGCTTTAAAAACTATCCCACTGGCACCGGTACTTAACGTGTTTTAATTGAATGGGACATCTGTCCGTTTGCCATGTCACGCCCATTAGACAAGTGTGACCACTTACTGCGTGGCTATAATGAGGTGTACAGAGGCGCGCAAAGAGCGATGCACGGATGGTAGATGGACATATTCTTGCTTCTTTATCAGTCGAATCAGTCGAATCAAAGAAATCACACGTTTCGTTCATTTCGAGTACCACACATGGAAGAGACAGTATCTTCATGAACACCAATTGTGAAACTCGCAGTGATGCTCATCAGCCCGCCTGGCTAGTCGGCACACATTCGCCTCTGTGTGTGAGCCTTAGCAGCAGAGACAGGTGGACAGCCGAGTCAGAACTCAGAGCACCACCCTAGCCCAGCGCCAGTGCCCTTCCCGACCCACCGAACGCAGTGCCATCCAGTGTCTCCCCTCCTCTCCAACATGTCCGTGCTCGTGATGAAGCTGAAGAAGTGGAAGGACAGCCGTCCCAACAGAAACACCTTCCCCACCAGCCACCTGGAGACCTGGGATGAGCGACAGCGGCGCAAGGCGGCTCTGCTCATCATATACATCAAGACGCTCGTCTACTTCTCCGTCGTGGCGATGGTGATGCCGCCCACCTGGCCGTACCTCCAGTCGCTGGATCCGAACGCCTCCAAGACACTGGTCGGATGGATTATTGTTGGGGTACCGGCTCTACGGCCGGTCAATGCGCTACTCGTTGGGTGGCTGCTGAAGAAGTTCTCCATTCGAGCTGTGACCATTGTGTCGGGGGTCTTTATTCTGGTCTCGTGCGCTATGTGGTCTACGGCCTATCATGTGAGTATGATAAATTCTGGTCTTTGAAATTGAAAGAACGTTGATTCATGACATGACTCAATGCGTATGTAAACGTATGAAAATGATCGAAGCAGGATAATCAATTAGGAGAATAAATACTAACAAATGACTAGTTAGGGTGCGGGAAAAGGGATGAGATGTGCAAATCGAGTTATGGCGGGTCAGCGACTTAACATTTATTTATGAATAAAATAAAAGGATAAGCAAATGCTGTTTTAGGGCAATGTTGTCAGTTTCCTGAACGTTAGTGATGATAATGTCACTCGAACAGACAGACGGCGTAGCCCAAGAACTGTTCAATGCTATATAATAGCACACTTTCTGTTCCCCTGCGGACATCGGCTTAAATTAACACAATGACACTTGCATGAACGGAGCATCGGTTTACGCATGTACGGTGAAAATAGCGCACTAATTGGCCTTTGGTGTTCTGGGTAGTTACGCACAAATTACTGTCCCTGAGGGAATAGAGTAGCGCACAATCATATGTAACCGTTAGCCGATTGACATTTCACATTGGGCATTGGCCGACACAATGATTTTCTTTGCGCTATAAAAAGACACTCAACAAGAAGTTTTGCTGTTGCTTAAATTGATGCTTTCTTCCGTGCAGCTCCTTTCCGAAAGGTTACGGCATTTGACCGGAAACGGACGGCTCCCTGCCGTTACCTACACTACAGCTGCTGTAAGCTGGTGTTCATTGGCGCCAATTTCGAAACTCAAAAACGAACTCTTGTCACACGTCGTCACATGGTCAAGATGACATAATATTTGCTGTGAAATTAAGCGAACGTGCAAAAGACCATCTACGCATTTTGTTAGTTATTTTTATCGTGCGAAATGGTCCACGCGGACCGAATCACCTACTCAACAATCAATCACTCAATCAGCTATTTTTATCTGTTTATTCAGAGTATGACAACTGAACCATGTGACAATTAACGAGACTAGCGAGTTCATTGCTACCTTTAAGTACCTAAAACTCCAACTTTATAGGGCTGTGAGACTTAAGTAAAACCGATTTGTCGACCCACCCATCAGCCAATCAACGAAGCTCATTGCTTGGTTCCAATCTCAAACCTGTCTTCTTTTACCGACACGATGTCGTATCTTATAGGCACCCATCTATGGCGGCTACTGGCTCCTCATCTCCCGCTTCGTCATTGGTTTCTTTGGAGCAGAGTTTCAGATCGGCACCACGCATGTGGCCTCGGCAACCACCAAGGAGGAAAGAAGCACTGCCATGACGATACTGGCTGGCTGTCTTAGTATCGCCTACATGATGGCACCGGGTGAGAGATGAGGGATGATGTGAGAGTGATGTGACTCAAGCATTTGTGATGGCAATGGTGTGGTCCTACACTGGTGTTATCTGTGGTCCAATGCTTGGACATAAAGCGAATTTCCGGAACCTCAGTGCCTCAGTGCCTAATTCTTGTATTGTGCCTAATTCTTCTGGTGTGACCTCAGTGCCTCATTCTTGTCACATCCAGGTATAATGTCGATCAAGTAGCATGCATGATGTCATTGTGAGATGTGAAGCTGGTGAAATGACATCAGATTCTGATGTTTTGTGCTGCGACACCAATGTATGATTCACATGAATCCCTGCCGCAGTAACTGCCCGTCCCTGACTCAAAGTGTAGTTAACGTTTAGGCCTGAGGTATAGGTGCAGTGACCCTCAGTAGTGATCTTGTAAATGTGTCCTCTATTGCCATGCTTCATGCATGAGATGACCCCATCCACTGATGTCGCTGGCGTGGCCCGCAGGAGTGATGTCGGCGATCTCGTTCGTCGGTCCCGTGGGTATCACCGTCTGTGGCTTCATCCTCAACATGTACACCGTCGCGGGCCTCCTGGGACTGGCCGTGTACGCCGCTGCACTCGGCCTCTTCTGCTTCTACTATGAAGAGAGTGATATCGCAGTTAGGGAGGAGAAACTGTCGGAGGTAAGAATGGTTCAGGGAGCCCGAGAGAGGAGAAACTGAAGAAGGTAGGATGTTAGGAGAGCAGAACTTGTTGGGAGAGAGAGAGAGAGAGAGAGAGAGAGAGAGAGAGAGAGAGAGAGGAGAGGGAGAGGGAGAGGGAGAGAGAGAGAGAGAGAGGAGAGAGAGAGAGAGAGAGAGAGAGAGAGAGAGAGAGAGAGAGAGAGAGAGAGAGAGAGAGAGAGAGAGAGAGAGAGAGAGAGAGAGAGAGAGAGAGAGAGAGAGAGAGAGAGAGAGAGAGAGAGAGAGAGCTGCTTTGGTGTGGGCGGAACCCTTCTCATCAAAACATGTGAAACAAAAGGCCACTAATTCGTGTCATGCCCGTCCGTATGAACAGATAAACAGATTAACTTGATAACTTGATAAGATAAACAGAAAGATTCTTCGTGGTCAACGAAACTGGGTGTTTGTGAAGAAACTGACATTTGGGGTTAATTGATGTGTAAGTTCTGTCAATGCTATTTGAATTCTGTGAACCGTATGTGACTCTGAGTAACCGCCTCTTTGTGTCCTCACACCTCAGGCAAGCTGTATCCTCCTAGCTATATTCATACTCAGACGACCCCTGACCTCATATATCTGCTTTCTCCAGGCAACCTCTGGCGGCGGCTCAGCTTCTTCCGACCCGGAGGAGGACCTCTTCCCTTCTCGTCCAGTAACCACCGACTACCTGGCTGTGGCTGTGTGTAACTTAGTAGGAGCCCACTGCTACGGATGGCTTCAGCTGCCAGACACCATGATGACCCCCATGGCCATGGATCTCTACGGATGGTCTGAAGAACATGCCGTACGTCGTGCTGGAAACATTCTCACGCTCTACGGTATCCTAGCTCTGGCTGGTTTTGCGCTATCAGGCCGTCTTGCGAAGAGGTTCCCTGAGAGAGGAATCATGTTGGGTGGTGCGCTGATGTATTTGGTAGGTGCGCTGGTCATGTTCCCAGTTATGGGACCTACGCCACCCATGGCAGGTCCTCCACCGGGGAACGATTCTCACCTAGAGGTGAATGTCACAGCCCTTCACCTCATGAAGTCATATCGCTCCCCCGGTGGTCACGCCTACGTCATGAACCTCGCCGAGGGTGGCAGGCAGGAACAGCTACCGCTTCAGCTGCGTGACCTTGATCCCGTCACTGGACGTCAGCTAGGCTGTCCGGCCACGCAACGCTGGTGTCTAACCGAACCTCGACCTCATCTAGCACAGCTGATCATCAGCTTTGGACTCGTCATGTGTGCCACTCCCTTCGTCCTTCCCATGGTGAACTCTTGTATTTCCAAACTCCTTCCTGCCGGCAACCAAAGTGTCATGTGGGGGATCGTGAACGGGTCGGCCAACGTTGGGCGTCTGATCTACCCACTTCTCAACATCTACTTGTACACCTTTCTCGGAGTTCGTGCACAGTATGGCGTCATGATCGGGCTTTGTGCTTTATGCGTGGTATTGCTTCTGGTGACTTTCAGGCGTCTGCGGCCTCGTCAAGAAGCAGGAGACAAGATTCCTCTCACCGATACGGGCAAACCTGGCTATGGAGCCACAAAGGCGGACCAGGGCTGATGGAAAAGGAAGGAGGAAAGGGTGCTGGTTTGTTTCTTGATGTCGTTAACGATATTATAATCGATACGGAAAGACATTCCAAACGAAGAATTACTAAAGAATGACGTAATTTAATTTTAGAATTAAATTACGTCATTAGAAATTTAAAGAATTACTGGCTCGATGGATGACCCGTCTAACTATCGTCCGCTGTCGCTCCTGTCAACTGTTGCTAAGGTCGCTGAGAGTGTTGTTTGCGGTCAGCTGATGACTTACCTGCTCACGCACAATATTCTCTCCGAGGTGCAGCACGGCTTCCGGCCCGGCCGATCCACGGAGTCGGCGATGCTGGATACTGTCAGTTTTCTCATGGATGGTCTGGATGACGGTCTCATCGGTTCTCTCACGACCGCCGACACTAGCAAGGCTTTTGACAGTGTCCAGCATCCCCGGCTCCTGGAAAAGCTGGGCTGGTACGGCATTAGCGCACACTGGTTCCGTGACTGGCTGAGTGACAGGTGCCAGATGGTGCGGGGTGGTGAGGAGGTGAAGCCAATCACCCACGGCGTGATACAGGGATCACTTTTGGGACCGATCTTATTTTTGCTATTTTCAAACGATCTTGCGTCCTATGTCGACTCCAAAATAGTGATGTACGCCGATGACGTTCAGTTTTTACATCTAGCATCACCGAAGCGAATTTTAGAGCTGAAGACAGATACCGAATGTACTTTAGACATTGCGAGTCATTGGTTTGTTCAAAACTGCCTAAAAATCAACCCCAAAAAGACCGAACTGTTAGTTGTAAAATCACGTAGGAGGCAGCTTGACTTTGATTTTAATGTACAGTTTGGAGATGATGTTATTCAAACTTCCGCTAGCATTAAGGTATTGGGTGTAATTGTCGACTCTGGCTTGACCTTTGAGCCACATGTGACGGAGGTGATTCGCCGATGCTACGCCACATTAGGAGGACTGTGTAAATCTTCGCGATGCTTACCGAAAGAAGTGAAGAAACTGATCGTTGAGATGCTGATCTTCCCCCACATCCGCTACTGTTTGTCGGTCTGGTCGGGCTGTGGCGTTGTTCAGCGTCGCCGCGTGCAGCGAATTATTAATCACTGCGCACAGGTGGTTATGGGAGCGCGCCGCTCAGCACACGTGACTCCGCTGTTGGAGGAGCTCGGGTGGCCCCAGATAGACGAGCTTGTGGCGGAGAGTGACTGCGGTGTTGTTCACTACTTGGTTAACAATACCAGTGCGCCGAGGTGTCTCTCGGAGCGGCTCGAGCGCCGCAGTGACGTCTCTAGTAGGGAGACTCGTGCCACTGAGAGCGACCTGCTCCAGCTGCCGAAACCCCGCACCGAGCAGGCGCGGCGGTTCTTCCGGTACCGCGCCGTTGCACGCTGGAACTCACTGGCCCTGGATGTGCGTGACAGTAAAACGTCTGCTGGGTGTCGCAGGCGCTTTAGGAGGGCGCTTTAGGCTCTTATAATGTGTGATACCACGTCATACGTGCTGTACTTTTTTTCCTTTAACATCTTTACCATTCAGCGTATATGTATTTATGTATTGACACTTGGACAGAATAGCCGTGAATACG